GCTGTCTTATAAATTTATTCCATTTTGGGACCTCCGATATTATTATAAAAATCATCTGATTTCCTTCTTGTAGTTCTAATTTGAAAGTAGAGAGTCATACTCATTCATTATAACACTCATCAAAATTACTTATGAAAAACACCTAGCTGAAGTTTGAATGAAACCAAACATAAAATATTTCCCAATATTAACTTGCACTAGGAAATTAAAAACAAAACATATCACTTTATTACACATAATACGACTTCTCCTAATTGCGTAGTCTTCAGAAAGTGGATTAACTAGAACTTTAAAGACTTCCACAAACATTTGCAAATACACACACAGAAATCCAACCATTTACAAGATAAATATAGTGGAAAGGTAAAACACGTTAGCCCATGTGCTCAACTCCTACATAACCATCCAGAGGCTCTTTGACCACAATGGCAAGAAGCTTACAGTATTAACCTCAAGAAGTTAAAATTGAGAGAGACCTCAAAATACTTTTTCATTTTCCACCTTAAAACACATATTGAAACCAAGAAAGAGACAGACAACGCAAAATTTCTTTACCGGTTAAAAAAAGCAATAAATGACAAGTTAAATTTATATATTAAAAGGATACGCTTCACATGCTTAACTTAAGCATCTCTTCACAAATATACTGACCAAATCAATTTTTTCCTATTTTTCCTGTTAACATTTATGGCTGCAAAAATGTATGACAAAAACATTCTGTATGTGCAGCCACACCTTCATTTCATTTTACTTTTTTTGGTGTAATGGTTTATCAGAAATATTCTGTGGTACTAAAGGGACCTCATGATTAAGGAACACCAAACAGAGTTCATTTTCTGTCCACTGTTTTCAGCAAACAGTGAAGCTAATTGCTTGTTAGCTAATCACCCCAGCTCGAACATGGAAGCTTCGCATACTATTGAGCAAAATGGGAATTCAATAGAAGCCTTAGCAGTGTAGATCTGAAAAAGCCTGCACAAAAACTCAGGTAAAACAATGAAGGTGGCATTGCATATATATATATACACATATATATACCTATATATAGCTAGAAAACAATAAGATAGAATTATTGTTAACTGGAGTCAACATTAATAAGCAAGTCTTTCTGCCACGAGCAGAAATAATGAAGCTTCCTTTCTTACCAGGAACAGTTCCTAGAGCTAAACTCTCCAACACAAGCTGAGCTCCCACTGACCTTTCTTGACCGGGGGCATTCAGAACGCGCTTCCCTCCCCAGAGCTCGCAGAGGTCTAATAAGACACGAGTTGCACCGAACATTTCCCTGACGTTTATTCACGCTGCCTTATACGTCAACTCATTCCTCTGTTTCCATTAAACTTATAAAAACTGAGCATCCTTGAAAAGTCTCAGCTTGAGCTGGAATCATCACAACTTTGCACTTTCTTTTCTTTTCTAAGGGCCAAATACTGATCACGTGAAAGGACCTCACATTTGTGACATGGCATTCTAACTTCGCTCCACAAAACCTCACGGATAATAACTCTCTCTTTATAATAATTCCAAATACAAATGAGTTTTCTCAGGGGCAATTAGGCCTATTAGCAAAAAAGGCAGAGCTGACCTAGATACAGCAATCATACGTTATTTCCCATCTGAACGGATGCTGTGTTTATAGCTTTGCATTTACAGCACAACGTTTACAGTAAACAGTTCTCTCTCTTCTTTACTGTTCACTTCATATTGATCAACATTTACTGTTTTTTCCATCTCCTTAGGAATATTACACATTGTCCTTTTCAAATAACACATTTTTCATGTTTTCTGGTATAGTAAATTGCTAAATTTTCCTAGAGTAAATATTTCAGTAAAACAAAACCTAATGGAGGATCTCTGGGACTCATTTTAGTAAATTCTGTCTGCATAGATGTGTGTAAAATTTTGTGAAAAATATGACAAATCAAAAGAAATTATAAACAAAAGTGGACTCAAATTTTCACAGTTTTGGTATTTAAGTTTCTAAAGCTATCATTAATAATTTAGATATTGTTTTTTTGAATGAGGCTGACCTGTTTTCAGAACGGCTGACATCCAAAAATTCCAATCTGTCAAATCATGCTACTTACGTAGAGGACCAGAACTAATTAATACGACTGAAAATTTGAGCGTTTCTTCAGGGACTAATTGCAACTCACCAGCTGCCTGTCTTGATTCACACTAAGCATTTTCTTCAACAGACTTCAACGCTTTGCTATCAAAATAAGCTTACATACTTCAAGCTAGGACTACAACCATACAAACAGAGATTAATTTTATTAGTGCCAAGCAGAAAATGGGAGGGGTGGGGGAGGTGGTCAAGAAAAAAAATTGCAGAAAGCTCAGGAATTTTTTAACCACAAAGGAGAACACGAGTAAGGATAAAATTAAATTTGTACTCATTGGTAAATAGTGGGGTTAAGTTTTTCCTCTCTTCTCTATTTTCCCTTTTCTGTTTCTACTTGGTACTATTTTCTTCATGTGGTTACTTCACTTTGCATATAAATTTGTAAATTTATTCACAGAAGCTTTTTGTTATATTGATTTGATGCAACTGTATAGTTCATATCTGTAATTATTAGGCAAAAATTAGAAGCTTGCACATACAACAAAAATGACTTAAAAGAAAACTTCCATGTTATATTGTAAAAAAATGAATTATAATTATCCCTTAAACATAAGCCTTCTAGAAAAATATCTTATTGATAAATGAACTAGACCCACCTTGTATATTCTTCTTGGAGCTTGTTTGGGTCACTTACAAAAAACTTAACTCTGAAATTCAAACTGTGAGGAGATCCTCCTACGGTTAAGAAAAATTATTTCTAATTAATCAGGGTACCCTTGAAAAACAGCATAATAATGATACATGAATTGATCAAATACATACATGTACTCACTTTTTAATTGTTTCCTGATAGGTTTGTTTGGATCCAACCATCTCTGGAAAGAGACAAATTATAACACCAACTTTAGAGAAAGAAAAAAGTACAAATTATAGCCTTATACATCAAGAAGCTGTTGCTTTTCTATTACTTTTCACTTGGTCTTTTACAAAAATGTCTTACTGGCGTATCAAGTCTTGCTGCTGATTCTGAAAAGACACGAACATTATCATCGACAGTTGCTACTGTTCTTCTTTCCTTGAGATGAACTTCTATTGTCCAGACATCTCTCTTTTACAGTGCTAATGCAACTATAACTTGGTTTTATGACTGCCACGTGAGCCTGAGAGGGGTTAGAACTCAATTATGGTGTGTTCAACAAACTTCAGCTACTCTTTAAACTCATTATCTAAGGCCAACTAACTGTGGCAGTAAAGAGCTATAAGCAGGTTAATTTACCCAACTTAGAAGTTAATTTGCTTAAACTAGTTCCAGTACTTTTGTCTCTGCTTTTTGCAGGTCTGACACATCCAGGGAGTGATCTCACTGGCTCATAGATTCTCTTCAAATTGTCAGCCTGAGTGTCATCTCTGGTAAATTGCTAATTGGGATCTTGGAAACCAGAGGCTCAGCACTCAGCCTACAGTAGTTAAGGACTACAGAACAATTTTACCAAACAGTGCCCAATCTTGATCATCTCTACAGGAGAACACTGCTGTGGGGAAGTACAGACAGATCTTTATAAAAACCAATGCTGCAAACTTCAGGGAGAAGTATGGTTCTCTGGAAAGCCCTACAAGTTGTTTAAACCACTCCTCACCAGCAACCCAGCAGACTGCAACCGTTCCGAGTTTGGCTGGGATAGAGTTAATTTTCACAGGAAGCTGGAAGGTGATACAACCAGGACAGCTGACCTAAACTAGCCAGAGGGATGTTCAATACCCTGTGAAGTCATGCTCAGTATATATACTGGGGGAGCTAGCTGGAGGAGGGGCATCGCAGATGGGGAGCGGGCTGGACATCCAGTTACGGTGGTGAGCAACTGTATGGCTTGCTTCATATCGTTCTTTCATTAGTATTACTGTTGTTATTATCCCTTCTCTTTTTGTGCTATCCTATTAAATTGTCCTTACCCCAACTCACGAGTTTCACCTTTTTCTTCCCACTGAAGGGGAAGGAGCAAGCAAGCAGCCGCGCGTGGCAGCTGAGCTGCCAGCTGGGCTAAACCACAACACCAATGCAGTCCAGTTAACTCATAAGTCCATCTTTGTTATAAATACTGTTCAATTCCTCATCCTGCCTTGCAATGCAAGCCCACAAGCCTCAGGAAACAGCCATATAGCCACAGTTCCTATGAAGTGACAGAGACCTAACCCTGTACAGCATGTAACTACCTCACATTTATCACAAGGCTTTGTATTTTTTTTCATGTGAGGGAGGAGGAGGCAAACACTGAGCGGTACGAGAGATACCTGACACACACTCTGGATCTGAAGTGAGTTTTGAGTCATTTTATTCACTGGGAATAATAAACAATCATGGCTACATCCAAATGCTGTATCCTTGCAGCAGATGATTTAAGAGGAATTAGACTGTTTGATATAGCTTAAAAAGTGTGATTATTTAAAAAAAAACTCACACAGGATGAATTCATTTTTAAGACTAAATGTAAAGTCTTCAGAAAAGACACTCCAGCCAGAGATACACATGAATTTTACATAAAAATTTTTCAAAACATGGCGAAAGATACTTCAGTATCTTTAAGCAAGGGGTTATGATCCAATATATCTGACAAGCGCACAGATCTGACTGATAATCCTCAGATTATTTTTCTGGGGGGTGGGAAGTACTGTTTGAGATTACAGTTAATCTAGAAAACCTGGAATTGAAATACCTAGCAGAAGAGCTTGCATTTACATTTACTTCTGGTTGTAAAGATCAACTCGGTATGTACTAGCATAATTCAAACCACAGAAAAGTAACTTTTTTTTTTTAACCATATTTAACAGGCAATGTCCATGCTTTCAAGTGATATCATCAGATCCAAAAGCAAAGGTGATTTTCTTTCTGGGAAACTGCAGAGGGTTAAACCACTTAATATTGTAAAGAAGCTGAAGCTGACAGGATTGAGACAAAAAATACCAGAACTTTGTGAATCAAGGTGTTGCTAGCAAGACGTGTTATTCCATTCACATCCCAGTAAGTCTGAGAGGCAGGTAGATTTGGGGATCCATGAAGTTTGTACCCCAGTCCCTTGGAGAGTCATTTCTGTATTTTCTCCTCCCCCAGTCGTGACCCTTGTCTCACTCCCTCCTGCCAAGGGTGCTCCAGCACTCACATTGACAATATTGGCTGCACCCCAGCTCCCACTGTGCACCAATACCCCTTCTCAGCGTTGCTCCGACCATCCACAGCCCAACCCTAACCAAATACACCACTCCCGCTGCACACGGCATCCGTGCTTTCTTGCAATGACTTTTACTGTAACATTAATATTATACAAAAACATAAAGCCTGTGCAGTTTATGAAATCCACATTTAGGCACAACGATAGAGGTTTTGCACTCAATTAGCAGAATCCCCTTTTCCCCATCACCTTTATCTCCTGCCATATTAGCTATATTTTAGTAATATTCTGCTGTTATTTTGTAACTAGAGTATTTGTCAATCCAATCTAGTTTCTTCATCCAGTGAACAGAGTATAAAAATAAACTGATCTCAAAACCTGAAATTAGTCAAACACATAAATTCTTCAAGCTTACCTGACTAATATTGGCAACATTTCTATTTAGCTCTGACACATTGTTTTCATGGCAACTAGATACGTGCTGAAAACCCAAACTACTTAGAAGTCAAAGAATACTAAACCTTTAAAGCATGTGCTTATATCAAATAGCTGTCAAGTCGTTCTTCTTTCGGACTCTTAACCAGATCCTTCTATTACAGTGTTGTGTTCATCTGGTTCCAGACAGATAAACTAAAAAAAAAGCAAGCTTAGAGGTCTAAGCTTTGGAAAGTGTTGTTTAACCTGGCTGGCAAGTAAACATCGTGCAGCTGCTCACTCGCCCTCCCCCACCCCCAGGGAATAGGGAAGAGAATTAAAGAGGAAAAGGGAAGGAGACTCATAGGTTGAGATAAGAACAATAAAATAACTAAAATTAAATTAAAAGTAACAATAATAATATATGGCAATATATAAAATAATAATAGTATATACAAAGAAGTGATCCACAGTATAATTGCTCACCACCTGGTGACCAATGCCCGTCCTGCCCCAGTGAGCAATCCTGAAACAGATTAAGTCCTGAAACCGCAATCTCTGAAGAGTGAAAAGCCAAATAGAGAGAGAAAGACAGAACTCCAAGGGTCTGCGAGTGATCGAACTTCCCAGTCAACCCTCATCTGTATACTGGGCATGACAGTACATGATATGGAATATTCCATTGGGCAATTTAGCCCTCAATCCTAAATCTAAATTCGAAACATAAGGGGAGTTGTGGACCCTTTGTTCCGGTCACGCTCCCCCCAGCCTGTTGCGCTTCTGCACATTGGCAAAACATGGGAAGCTGAAAGGTCCCTGATGTCTCAGCACCAACTATAAACATCAGTGTGCTATCAACATTCTTCTCATAACAAATCCCAGACTAAACCCAAAACACAGCGCTATTCTAGCTGCTAAAAAGAAAACTAACTCTGTCCCAGTTGAAACCAGGACTGAAAGCCTGACAAACGAGAATGAAAAACACTACAAATTTCTGAATGTTGAGTAAAATATTGAGTGATATTCAATTAAATACTTCTCAAACAAAGCTGAAAAACAACTCAGCCTTTTTTACAGCATGTCTATGTCTTTTCAGCCTGGAAACAAAGCTTAGAATAAAAATATTAAATGAGGCCAGCTTGCTAATGTCTTAACAGAACTATCCACAAAGTTACAGAAGAAAACTTTGTTAAATATCTACAACTATGCTATAAAGACTTATTCATATTAATAATCTTAATGTTACCAGAATCTAGAAAAAGAATATAATTAAGAATAATTTGGCCTAGAGAAGAAAGAAATGTGAAAGTAGTTCACTATTCAGGCAGAAGAAAATCATGGCTGTATTGTGACTTCTTTCTTCCTCTTCTACATTAAAAAAAGACACTTAAAGTAAAAAGAAAAAACCCAACCTTTTAGTAAGATAAGAAAAGTATTCCTTCTATTTATAAGTCACTCTTGATGGCAAAACAACAGTAGACCAAATCTGCACTTACCAAAGAAAGTCGCACTACCTTCTGAAATTCGCCTTGGTTACTGAATGATTAGCACTCTACAGTGTCACTTATCTCTATGGATCACTTCCTGCACATTTTGTGAACAAAAATAACTTTTGACACACAAACTGGGAGATAAATTTAGACCCCATCACTGTGACAGGCATATAATGGGAATTAGGTAAAGAACAGTATTTTAAGGAATCATACTTTGTCAAATTGCACTTTAAAACAAGTATGGAGTGTGTGATACCTGTAAAAGAAAGTGTAAGAAGTTTTCTTCCAGCAATCGTGTTCAGCAGTACCACTATAAGTATTATAGGCACCGAACACTACAGCTGGGTCTACTGATGAATTATAAAGTGATTTACAAAGTTTCAGTCCTCTGGAATTTCCTTTCAATTAAAGCACATAAACCATTATAAACATGCATTTTCTCAGGAGTCCCTTCCTTTTTTTGTTAAGGTGATGAGCTGACAGCCCTTGTCATATACTGTACTATACGAGGCACTATTAAAAACCTACCAGGCATCTGGGCTAGAAACAAAAACACCACATAGGACAATCTAAAAACACCTCATTTTTTTGTAAGTTCTCTTGAAGAAAAATAAAAGAAAAAAAGAAAAAAGAAAGAAAAAAGACTTACTATTTATGCCAACTGACAACGATCATGCAGTCTAGTAAACAGATACAATAAACCAAGCAATATCCTTTTAAGGCATTATTTCATAAGCACAGATCTCAACATTTAACTCTAAACTTGTAGCTATCAATATTTAGTTTTATTGTAACTACAAGGTGATACTGACCCACTGAAACAACACAGTCGGAGAAGATGACACAATATTGCAATGGCTTCTCTTTACAATGACACAGAGCACAGTGACCAACGTGACTATGATCTATAAAACTGTATTTATAAAACAGAGCCAACTTACAGGGTTATCAGTAGATTCATCAGCCAACTGTAAACCAAAGTAATCTCTCTCTGTCAAATCGAGATGCTTGAAGACTACATCCAATAGAACTTGTCCCTGATCATGTTTCTGCAGAGAGCAAAAATACATGTATTGTTTAATGAACAAATATATAATTGGACACACAGACTTCAGGCAGGCAGAGCACATACATATTCTTTCAGATGTTCTCTAGCTGCCTAAATTTTAAATGTCAAGAAGCATATCCTAGGAGCACTATTTTTAAACGAGCTTCATCTCTCTTTTTAAAACATATGTAAGGAATTATTATTTTTCCTCTTTGTCATTGTCTGACAGTTAAGAATTTCTCACTCCTCAGCTAGCTACATGATTATTCCTGAAAGCCATTCATTAGCTAAATTTGATATTTAAAAGGAGTACTGGAAAAAAAAAGAAAAGTAAAAAGGCTAGGATTTGACAAAGAACTTTGTAGCCTTGTTTGGGTCACTGAATTTAAAAGTACAGGTCTGTACAAGTTATGAAGGACAGGGACCTGTTAAAGCAGGTCCAGAGGAGGGCCACGAAGATGATCCAAGGGCTGGAGCACCTCTCCTATGAAGACAGGCTGAGAGAGTCGGGGTTGTTCAGCCTGGAGAAGAGAAAGCTCTGAGGAGACCTTAGAGCAGCCTTGCAGTACTTAAGGGGACCTACAAGAAAGCTGGAGAGGGACTTTTGACAAGGGCGTGTAGTGATAGGACAAGGGGCAATGGCTTTAAACTGAAAGAGGGGAGATTTTGGTTAGATATAAGGAAGAAATTCCTCACTCTGAGGGTGGTGAGGCACTGGAACAGGTTGCCCAGAGAAGTTGTAGATGCCCCATCCCTGGAAGTGTTCAAGGCCAGGTTGGATGAGGCTTTGAGCAACCTGATCTAGTGGAGGGTTTCCCTGCCCATGGTAGGGGGGTTGGAACAAGATGATCTTTGAAGTCCCTTCCAATCCAAACCATTCCATGATTCTATTCTTATCTATTTTACCTGAAAACCTATTCCTGAATCTAAATGAACCAGCATATTGAAAATGTTTCCAAAGTTAAACGGCACAGACAGCCGAAGCAGCCAAGTATCTAACTGAGAAGTGTCATTTAAACGCATTCTAACACACGACTTCACTCTATATGAACTAATTGAAATTAACTGAATAATATTAACACTGCTTTTCAGAGACAACTGAACAAACTTGAGTTCTACTACAGGGCCAAATCTTACCCACAAAATGATAAAAAAAGATTCTGTAGTTGTTGGTACCTAGCGATTTTTTGCCTAACCTGAAAACACTGCCAACACAGCAACTGAACTGCAGAGTGTGCCACTACGACAGGGCTCAACAAATACATTTGGTGACATCTGAAAGGAGTTTCCCAACAAAGTTTAAGTGTCATAGCTTCTTGAAGTACAAAAGATGAGGAAAAATTCTGCAAGAACAACTGTCAAACAAAAGAAATTATGAAAGAGATGATTGATAACACTTTCCACCCAGATTTTCTACTTCTCAGGCACCAAGCAAGCTTCTAATAGTGTTCTACATGCCAAGTAGTATCGATGCTACAGCGGATTTGATACATTTGGCCTTGTTTACTGCAGGCAGCAAGATATTTTTAAAGTTTTAAAACAAAAAAGCTGCTGTTCTGCTCCCAGATGACCTCACTTCTCAGAGACTATACAACAGTGTACTTTTACAGCCATTAAAATGGAAATATATAACTAAAAGATCAAAAGAAGGTTGCAAGAATTTCATTAATATCCATATACGAGAAAAACCTACAAATCACTTTCAGACATTTGTTAACATCTAAGAGTACACTATCAAAACTCATCTTCTCGTTCAGCTGAAATTACACGCAGTTGAATAAACTGTCAAAACCATCTACTGGGGGCTAAAACTCCAAGAAGCTTGATAATTCATTTTCTAGTAATAAAAAAATTGGAAAATAGTTATCAAAAAATTATGCCTGAAATTATCCCAGCAGGACAATCATAAACACAGCTCTGCTTAGTTAGAATTACATAAAGCACATATTTCAGGTCCCATATAGATTTGGCTAAGTTAAAGTGATCTAAGAATTTCTATATTTACTTTGAAAGAAGATCTTATTTTTTTAAATAATAACACAGAGAAAAAGTCTGTTAACAAAATGAACAGTCAGTAGAAGCATCATTGTTAAAAAGTTCACTATGGAAAAATTTACTTCCCAATAACTTAAAACAAGCAAAAAAAAAAAAAAACCACCCCAAGTGTTAACATAACAAATACACAACAGTATAAACACTGAAGGAAATTTTTATGTACAACCCAAAACCAGCCACTTTCTTTTTTACTAAATTAGGAGTTTCTGATATATTTTGAAACAAACCAGTAATCAGTACAATTTTTTCAGCAAATAAAACTAATTTTAAAATTACATAGCAACACTAATTGCTTCTTGGCATTTTTCCCCATGTACATTTAAATCAGAACTCAAACTAAGAACTTATGACAGCAAATATCAGAAAATCGGAGATGTTTGGAACCCAAGTTTAGGTTTACATTTACCATGGCTGATATGTTACTTCTTCAAATAACATGCAAGTATCAATTTGTAGTTGTTTTCCAATCTAAAACTGAGAATTTATACTGTTTCTTAAATATCTGTATAGATGTCCTAACGAAAAATCTTAGAACTTGCGGATCAGTTTGAATTCGGTAATGCAGAACGTCATTTCACGACCGCAAGGAAGGTATTTCTCCAGCAACAGAGCAGCAAATTGGTAAGAGAAGACTAGTTTCAACATGAAGCATTTGTTTTGATCACAATGTCTTACTCTCAGTGCAAAACAAAGATAAGCATCTAGTAAAACCAGATCTCAGTTAACCCATCTCTGATATTTATACGATGATGTTGCAGCTTGCCAGAGCAGGTGAAAGTCACAATCCTGCTTGTTGTGAAAGGTCCAAAATATTTGTAATGCTATGATAACCATTGAAGAGCAGCTATAAATTATAAAAAGCACGATAACAAGTTTCTGGTTTTGCCTTTTTCTTTTAATAAAAAAGCAAAACCAATAAACGTGGATTAGAATGAAAAGAAACGTGCTTTATTCCTACAGATAAAGTTAAACATCAATATTTCCTCTTTTAACAGAGAATAATGGGAAAATATATGAAAAATGGGAACTATCTAACACAAAAGTGCAGTAGTTAGATACAAAGCATATCAAATTTTTTTTTAATTGGAATATTTGAATGTTGTGCGTAATTCTCATTAGTCATTGCTGGAAGCAAAATGTCTAACAAATTTTGGCCTTTCAGATCAAATTTGACATTAACATTAACTGCACTTTATGAAGTATCTACCATCTAGTGGCTAACATCTAGTACCACTAGATATCTACACATTAAGTTTTAATTGTAAAATGATTGTTAGCTGTTCACGAACACCCAAGTTCAAAAATTTAGTAAAACATCCCCAATCACAAGGTTTAACGCCTGCTTCCCAACTACCACCACAACCTTCTGACGTTCTGCTTTTGTTGCTGGCCAACAAGACTGGACGCATCTGCAGCAAACACCAGGAGATATTGCTGCTGTGTCAGTCCAAACAAATTCAGACTGCTGATGACAGAGGAATGGGATGCCAGGTCCTGGACTTTCCTGGTGGGGGTCAGATGGCTCTGCTGCTCACAGGTCTGTGGGATGCTGCACTGCTCCTTCACCAACGACAACAATAGAACCTCTCCTCTTGCAGCTCACTGCAATCCTTTCCTTATGTTGCAACTCAAGCAAGTGCATCCCTCAACAGCCAGCACTGCACTGCTACCTCCTTTCATTCTACAGCTCCCCTTAGCTTTGGAAAAAGTTATCTTGTTTTAAAAAAGTTTCCAAGCAGGCTATTATTTTTTGGTCAAAGAAAAAAAGAGAAGCAACCAAGTAACACTAAAGATTAAATTATTGAAAATTTTCACTTCTGAAGTTACAGGGGATTGGTGTGGGCTTTTGTTTTGGCTTGGGTTATTTTACAGATTTTTAGATTTTACTTCCATTAGAGTGTAAATTCATTAAGCTTGAAGGGAAATCTGAGATAACAAGGCATAAAACTGTAACACTTGTCCATGACTGCTAATCTTCTAGCCTTGCTCACCGGACAACTCATTCCATTTACCTCGACATCTGTCCCTCAAGTTTAGTGTGATCTCCATAGCTATGTACTGACTTTCAGGGAAATACAATTAAGTCAGCCTCCACAGAAAAGACACAATTTGAGGTATTTAAACAATTAATTAACACCACTTAAAGCAATTTGAACTTGAAGAAGCAGGATTACAGTAATGCAAATCATCCTGATCATGTTATTAAGTCTGCCTCACTTCTTCCAGCTATGCTTTCTATGAAGTATGCTTTTCAGGGTCAAAGTAGGAGCTCTTCACATTGGAAGAAGAGCATTTTATAGAAAGGATTTCTTCTATTCAAACATATGTACAGGTTAGTTTCAACTGATTCTTCTGCCTGCAACCAAAATAACCTTTGTCTGGCTACAATCCACAGGGATTATTTTCTTTGATTTGTTACGCTCTATACAAGGTAAAGTTTAGCACAAAGAATGCCTGTTTTGCAGATCAATGGAAAAGGCTGGTTGAAACGTGAACTTAGAACATGTCACATAAATTATCAAGAGACACTGTCTGTGATCAGCCCTTCACTGTTGGAGAAGAAACTGCATTTGAGTACCTTTTTATTAATAGAGTGCTACATACTCCAGATGATTAAGCTTTACAATCATTAGCATACAGAATACCTATAGCAATCACCAGAAGAAAAAACAAACTTGTTAATTTATTTGATGTTATCTTCGTTCTTCCTATTTTGAAAACAATTCCATAAATATTTATTGCCAAATATTGTGTCAACCACAATAAAGCAGAACACAGCCATAAACCTTGAAAACCTGTATACCGTGTAGGTTAGTATACATTTTCTATGATTGAATACTTTACTACTCCCTATTTTTGAAAAAACAGATTGAGGCTAAGATCCAATATCACAATGTTGAGCATCAAGGAACTTTTTATTGCCTAAACTCAATTTTAATAGACAAACTTGCATGCTGATCTATATAAGCAGTAAAGCGTGATCCATGCAACTGAAATATTTAGTACATTATATATTTAGGTGGAGAGAACATATTTTATAAATTTTTCTGGGCAGAGACAGAACAGATATTTGAGGATTTATAACTGGTGATTCTACTCTAGACAGGCAGTAGCATTCCCTAACAACATACAGCTTTTGAACACCTAGATCAAAAAGGAGCATAATCTCCCATACCTATTGTACAACAATTATTCCTTATTTTAGCCAACTCTTATAATCAAACAAAAAACTGCAATGCAGATATTTTAATGGAAAACTCATGCACCTAAAAGCAAAGAACACAACATTTACAGTTTCTCATGCACTTTTAATGCCTTGTGTCCAACTACATTCTGCACGTGCTGCTTTTTGGCAGGCAGTATAGTCTGGGAAACTTCACAAGAATGAGAAGATACAGAAAAGCAATGGAACATTGTAGAGAAAAAGGTAAAAGGGACATAGGAGAAATTATCCCAGAAAGGAGATGAGGCCTGATGTCAATAAAATAAAGTCTTTGTTCATCCCTCCCCCAGCTCCATCATTCAAAATTCCCACCCTTAAATACTCAGAAGTCCTGAAAAGTTAAGTACATTCTGAATGAACTACAAAAATGCCTTAAGAGAACATCCTAAAATCTTCTATCTTGATTGAAAAATCTAAAACAAATAACCACCAAGTCTATCTCTAAACCTTAAGCCACTCAACACTAGACTCTTGCAAGCTTTTGCTAGATAACAGAGATTTCATTCCTCTGACAGGCGGCTCCAGGCTGCACAGGCTTTAACCACCTGATTACAGAACAGAGAAATTCAATCACTCACAAATCTTTCCTAAAACACTCAAACATATCAACATCCTCACTAAACACTGGATGTCAGAATTCAGTGACTGAGAATTAGAACTTTTTCAAATAGCCCCAAATTAAACTTGTTCACACAAATTTGAGAACTGCTTCAGTTTCTCCCTCACTTCCCAGCTGAATTCCCACAGCTTTATTTGATATCGAGATACTCCTCCACTCCATTCACTGAAGTTCAATTTTCTTGTGAAAAATTTTTTATAATGGTGCCACTTGTAACTTTTCCCATCACGTTATTCAACCTTTCTCCACCTAAATCATCAATTCTATAGCTTATAAAGTCAAAGTTTAGTTCTCCTGCCTCAGGACACCTCATAGCTTCTTGCCTGTTGAGTTCTGGTTCTTCTTACAAAGATCACTTTAAATGCTTTAATGTCTTCTTGTGAGGTCCTTGCCTGATTGTGGGATTTTTTTCCTTAAGACGTCAAAAGAAATGGTTACACTTGTGTGAAAATATGCACAAAATCATAAACATTTTCACTTTAACTCCTTATCAAGGACTACAGATTAGAAAATCTGATGAATAACCTATTTTAAATTCCAGGCTCATATGTAAAAGTTATTCACTTTTCCCAGTAACAGTCCTCAGCATTCAGCAACCAGATTCCTATTTTCTTTCCTGCCATCCTCATTAGTGCATTAGAAGGTGGTGAGTTTAAGTAAGGGAAATCATGGAACATGAATATAACCTAAGAAAAGCCAAAAGCAAAGAGATACTTTAAGATGATAGCTGTAACCAAATATAACCACACACGTGATTGAACCCAGTTAGCTACACAGTCCTGAGAAGAGTTTACATTACACCTTACTCATGTTCAAAATGCAAAACCCAGAACGAAGTAAAACAGAAACTTGCTTCTTATTCAGCTCGGTGGCAAAACTGTCCTCCATTTCCACTATACAACGTTAGTCCCTGAAGAGAATTACTAGAAATAAACTATGCTTTGTACATTCAGTTTTGAAATGAAGACATGTTAGTACTATAGAGGATGCCAGAATGACTAAGTTCACAGTGACTTCATGTGCACAAGCACAAGCATGCCTACCTGAACACAACTTCCTCTTCTAGTCTGTACTTAACACTATTTTGAAAGTCAAACTCTAGCCATACAAATCCAGCAAAGGAAAGGAAGCCTGGTGATACTGATTTGCAGTAAGCAAATTACTTACATTAACTCTGAAAGCTTGTACAGTGTTATCCAGGAGAAGAATGTTGCAGACCACCTCCGTATGCTGCCTGTCTCGTGCCAGCTCAGACGCTCGTACATTGTAGGTTCTGCCAGCAGGCAATCGGAAACGTGCGGTCATTACTGTCCACACAGGGTCTTTAGGCAAAACGAAAATAAAATTAAAAAAGATCAAAAAGTGCAAATGCAGGAGTGTCATACTTCAAAGAAAGGTCAACACATCACAGACAAAAGAAAAATGAGTACTAAATTCACGGTATCCAATAATGAAATAATGTCTTTACAACACAATCTTATTCCAAAATACTCACATCTTTTACTTTCTGTCTATTTTCCACTTCCTCCTTATTTTAAGGTTGTTTTGTGGGTGGGTTTTTTTGTTTGATTTTTTTTGGGGGGGCAGGGGTGGTTGGTGGTTTTTTGGGGTTGTGACGTTTGTTGTTTTGTTGGGGTTTTTTTGGTTGGTTGGGTTTTTTTTTAAATATTCAGAACAGCATTTTCACTTCAAAAAACATTGTAACTGCTGGGCATCATGGCTACTAGGCTCCCAACAGAGGCAATTAAGTAATTAATTTCAGTGTAAAACAGAAAAAAAAAAGCTTACACTAAAAGGCTTTATGGAGAAAAAGAACGCAGAAAAGAGAAGAGTAAATACACAAAGATTTTGATGCATTATTCTGCAAAGCTTGTACATTCACTGTATAATAAGACATGAGAATACACAGTGATAACAAAAACACTGGCATTGCTTCTTTTCTTTTTTCTTTTTTAAATCACAACATGAATAGATAGAGATTTGTCAAACTATTGAATCTTCCATTTAGGTTAATTTGATTGGATTTACACATTTCATTTGGAAGCACAAACGATTCTTACTCTCCAAAAAAGGAACTGTGACCAACTGAAGTCTACACCCTGTGCTAAGTGCTGATAAATGAAATGCACGAGCTGAAATGTGACTTTCACTTTTCAAAACTAAGACGTAATGATTATCCTGCAACTCCAGTCCAGCAAAGTACTTACGTGCACACCTGATGCTATTAGCCCAATCCAACGATACCAGTTGCTTTCTTAAGTACTTTGCAGGATCAGGGCCTGTGATTCACTTAATTACACACTCAGCAAACTATTTCTACATCCTCTGACATGGGTGTAAGCAAACAGAAGGTTTCATAACTGAAGTAGAGAATATATTGAGATAGAAAATTAAATTACCTTAAAGTAGTAAAAGAAAACAGATATTCTCAAAACTGAATATAAAATGATTGATTTTCCTTATTCTGTGAAAAATCATGAAGACTTCAAAAACTTTTACATGTTTCCTTCCTGTTTTGAGTGGAGTGGGTGTGAAGCATGATAAAAAAAGCAGAACTGAGCAGAGGACAGCAAAGATCCCAGCAGCGACTAGAGAGCTTGCCTGCATAAGAGATAGCTGTGCTCCAAAATACACAAATGAATAGGGGTCACACATAAAAGATCCATCCCCTCCTAAATAGTTGATAGCTTAGATACTTAGGCCCTGGTGGGAAAGCGGAAGACCAAGATCCAAGCCACTTGTATCAGGACAGGACAGGACTTTGCACTTTAACCTTCTTCCCACTGCCTGCAGCCAACCTCCTGAGCAACTGCCCTAAAAAATCTCTGAAGTATCTTGCTTTTCTAGGGTATGTCTTCAGCTCTTTCAGCACGACCACACATCTCAGACTTGAAAAATCTTTTTTATAATTATCTATCCTTGTAAAATGTTTCAGTTTTGACTTAACCAGCAATTTCAGATTAAAAAGTACTTGTTCCCTTACCAGAAAGCTTTTTTTTTTTTCTTTTCTTTTTCCCCTGGCTACTCACTCTGGCTTCAGAACTACAATGCTGTATACATGCAGAACCACAGCAAGTTTATTTTTCTTTTGCCAAATCAACATGACAAACTGAGAAAGGATAAAGATATCAGATAAACCCACCAGTTGCATGGTGGGTTTAAACCCCAAACTCGTGACTTTTTCTTAATGATAAAATAATGAAAAATTGTGTCACAAACATTAAAGCTCCAAAGTACGTGTCCGACAACTCACAAAGAGGTTGCTTCCACCATGCCTTCTACACTCCAAAATAAAAGGCAGAAGAAAATCTTTAACAGAGAAGAACAGGTAACTGAACTTCCACATCAGTCATCTGAGTCAACAACACAACATTTCACAAGCAACAGTTCGTCACGCAGAGACAATCTGAAAGTCCATTGCCTTACTAGCCACAACAGCAGAAAGATCAGCATCTTTATCAGGGCAGCTACACAACCAATAACTATAGCCAAAACTTCGGAGTGGTATTTGCCTGTAAGCTGAATCAAAGAAGGTTTCAGAAAAGCATGCAATTTGATTAAAAATAGTTTATCCATACCACAGAAACAACCGTTTGACAGGCATATTTTACAAGGGTTTGAATAAGTGACAAATCAACCAAGACACAGTGAGGGTTATCTCAGAGTTCTTTCCCACCAGTGCACAAAGTAGGACTGTTTAGTTTCCAAATAAGTATTGCAGTCCTCACAAAAGCATTTAGTAGTGAGCTAGGAGGGTTTAACTCAATCCAAAATTTCACTGCAGGAAAAAAAAAAAAAAAAAAGACTTGTTAAAGGCCAGAAACCATCATAGTTAAAGGGAACAAAAAGGCAAATCTCACATTTGCCTCCTGTTCTCTCCCCTATTTTTGTCTTAGCTGATCAAGACTGACAGTTTTTCTTCCTTCCTCATCACTGCCTTAAACTAGACAGAAAGCTTCTGGGTTTCAAACAGAGCAACAAATTCAGACTGAGTAAGGAGAAAAATCTGCCTTCAGTGATCCTCAAAATCTTTGAATACCAAGCAACCATCCACCATGTCCTTTGACAGATCCAACCTGCAGACCCAGCAAGGTTCTGTAACGCAGGTGATCTCCACTCCAACCAACCAAAAGCATTGAATAGTCACAGCCAGTGATTTGGGTCTTTCTCAATGTACATAAATGAAACAGCCAAATGCAAGACAGAAGGCACTGTGTTATGAGTTCGCTAAGGAAAAAGGATCGGCTCTATTGGGTCAGAGCAACGGCTCACCTAGCTCACCGACCTGAAGGGCAATGCCTTCTCACTCTCTTTAAAGGAAGAAAGAAATGACTAGGACACACACAGAAAGATATTTCTCACACTGTTCCACAGGCTGGAGTTTAGCATCTTCCTGGTGTGGAGCTCATATCCACACCATGCTGGACATGTTTTCTTCATGGACTGAGGAAACCACGTTTTGAACTTTCAGGTTAGGCAATGAAGCATTACATTCCATGTCCCACATACAACACATAATAGCCTCAACAGCCATCTTGTATTAGACAAGTTTCTTCCATGAAACTAAGAGGCTTTTGCAACTACAGAATACAGTTTTACAACTAAGAATAGCAACTGAAATCCTGAAATACTTCTAAAATAATGGAAATGTAACAGCCATGAAAGTAACAGAAAGAAAGGTGACAAAAGACAAGACTATTTTCTGCAAACCACCTTCAAAGTTACTTTCCCCACATGTCAGCAAAAACCCCACGAATGTACGTAGAGTTTTTTTAAAACATCTTCACTACCACACGCTCTCTCAAGAATACTCCTCCCTCTAAGATGTGCCAGTTCTCTTACAGGTAACGGCTTTGTGGCCTATCATGTGTACACGACCCGTATTTAAACCCCTATCAGCACACAAAAAGACGCAGTTGTTAAGCACAGACAGACCCTGCAGTTACTGCTCTTGCTGTGACACACTTGCTTTACTATACGATTGGCTCCAGACACCAAGAACACATACAATATTATTTCTCCTGACCAGGTATTGCCATTCTTGCTACACATTTTGAAAACATACTAGCAAAATAGTGAGATGGCTGTCTATTGCTTATGAGGTTATAAAGCATAACTACCTGATTTCCCAGCAAATACCGATACATAAAGCAAGAAAACTGATAAAAATTCAGCTACACTGGGTGCAACCTTCTGAAATTAAATATGTTATAGCTAAAGTTAGTATGGAACAAGTAAAGGATTGACTTCAAGCTCCAAAGTAAAATCTGCAGCCCTAAAAGAACTAGGAGTAAAGACAAAAGGTCAGATTCAATCAAAACCAGTTTGAGAACAACTGGTTTAAACATCAGGTTAACTTAAGCACGGTACTACTGTGTGTGCACGCGCATGTCATGGACAGTACCATGGCCCCTTGCAGTGAAACCTTTCTATACATGCACGTGGATTATATAAAGTGGATTTAAATCGGAGTAATCTTTGAATATGAAGAAAGTTTCTGCTTATAATTTTTCAGCATCTTCTGCTAAGCATGCAATATTTAGACACTTGAATTAATAAGCCAAAGCATGTGCTGCTTAGAGCAACTGGAGAAGGACAGAACTTGTGCAATGAAACTCCACTCACTGCCTCCACAGACCTGAGAGCTAAATTGTACATTTCCTGCCTCAGCTCAGGTTTCAAGCCATGAAGCAATTCCAGGGAGTGTTCCCTACCAAAGGGCAGAACGTTCCTGCGATACTGGCTTGGTAAGGGCATTAAAGAGCATACAGAAGCTTCGCAAGTGAATTTTCGGCATCCTCTATTCTTTTATGTGAAAGCACACAGTAAAACGACAATTTGCTTGGGCTTACAATAAATGAACTCATTTTAAGCAGTTTAATAAATAAGCAGTTGGTTAAGAAGGTAATTAACTGAAATTTAATTTATCCAGGAGTGCAAATAATTCGCTGACTTGAAGTAAAGAGTTCTTTTAAACAGAGTTCACAATGTACTGTACACAAAGACAACCACCTTAGCACAGCACAGTATGCACATGTGCATGCAAGGACATGAGAAATTTCATTTTTAATCTGAAGCAGCTCAGAGGCTACTGCACTGCCAGATTTCCACTTGGTTACAAGCTGGAATTTTAGCAACCCAGAAGGCACATTTCCTCTGTAGCCCAGCTGCTATTCGGGGTCCAACATTAAATCACAGAATGGGTCAGGTTGGAAGGGATCAAACTTAAAGCTCATCTAGTCCCAACCTCCCTGCCATGGGCAAGGACACCTTCCACTACACCAGGCTGCCCAAAGCCTCATCCAATCTGGCCTTCAACACTTCCAG